TAAGATGTGCCTGACCCAAGCCATGGTATTTTCAATTTGCCTCATATTCATGTGAAAGTTGGGCAATTATTAAGGAAGACTGTAGAAGAGTAGATGTATTTGAATTATGGTGTTGGAGATGAATACTAAAAGTACCATGGACTACCAGAATAACAAACAAATCTTCGTGGAAAAAAATACAGTTAGAATGCTTCATGGAAGCTAGGATGGCAAAACTTCATCTCTCATACTTGAGACACGTTATCAGGAGGGACCAGTCCCTGGAGAAGGACATCATGCTTGGTAAAGTGAAGGGTCAGTGAAAAAGATGAAGACCTTCAACAAGATCGATTGGCACATTGGCAGCAGCAATGAACTCAAACGTAGCAACAATCGTGATGATGGCACAGGACCAGGAAGTATTTTGTTCTGTTGTGCATGGCATCTCTATAAGTTGGAACCAACTCAAGAGTACCTAATAACAACAACAATAAATAACAATAGTTGCAGCAACAACAGTTTATTAATGCATAGAAAGTAACAGTGATAAGGAGGCCTGGTGTGGTGCTGCGGGTTAATGCACTGGGCTGCAAAGTTGGTTTGAACAGCAAGGTCGGTGGTTCAAGTTCACCAGGAGCTCTTTGGAAACCTTAAACAGGGTCGCTATGAGTTGGAACAAACTCGATGACACTTAACAACAACAACAACAACAACAATAAGGATTCCTGGTGGTGTAGTGGATAAGTGGCCGGCTGTTAACCGAGAGTTTGGTTCAAACCCCGCTAGTATCTCTGAGGGAGAACGTTATGGCATTCTGTTTCCAGAAAGATTGACAGCAGTGTAGTAATATAAATATTATAATTTTATAAAAGTAGCTATAATTCCCCTAACAAGAAACACAAGAAGGACATTGTTTTACATTGCAAATCTCTTTATTGTCTGGCTTAATAGAAGACAGCTGGATTCTCAAATCTATCTGCTCCTGCATGTAGTTTCTGGAAACTTTGTGAGATACTAGGAGTGAAATGGACAAATATTGCCTTGGTATTATTATGAGATGAGTTTTGACCTCACAGATATCCTGAAAGGTGTAGGGAACCTCCAGACTTTCATAATAACTGCTCTAGATCAATATGCCAGCTAAAATAAATAAAAGCATTTATTTAATCATATGGCTTGCCTTCTTAGTATGTGTGGAGGCAGAATTATAAGGCTGTCCCTGAGTTTCCTGCCCCCTGGTTTATACACCCCTGTATAATTTGTTGTTATGTGCCGTTGAGTCATTTCTGACTCATAGCAACCCTGTAGAGGGTGTCTGAGGAGTGGCTGAGGGTTTGAACCGCCAACCTTGCAGTTAGCAGTCCAGTACATATCTGACAGTGCCATACCAGGACTTCCTGTGTAATTTAGGGGACCTGTAAATATGATGGGACAGTTACTATCATGATTGTTGTTAAGTGCTGTGGAGTTGGTGCCCACTCATAGTGGTCCTGTAAAGGGTTTCCAAGGAGCAGTTGGTGGATGTGAACTGCTGATGTTGTGCTTTGACGTCTAGTGCTGATCCTACAGTACCACACCAGGAGTCCTACCATGATTAGGTTATGCATATAACATAACTGGTTTTAAGAATGGAAGACTATCCTGGTGAACATCTAGGTCAATTGTCATAACACTGTCCTGAAAAGCGTGGCTATTGAAGATACAACTATTATTAGCCTGTTCCTGTATGGTCCAAAGAAGAGTGAAAAAAACACCACCACCAAAGTCTCAAGGAAACAATTAGTCCAAAGAACTGATAAACCACATGAATCACATGACCCACAGTCTCCACTAACCTGAGATCGGAGCTACATGGTGCCTGTTCACCATTACTGACAACTCTGATTGGGATCACAAATAGAAGGTCCTGGACTGTGTGGGAGAAAAAGGTAGAACAAAATTCAGAATCACAAAAAAGACCAGACTTATTGGTCTGGTAGAGGCTGGTGAAGCTCCTGAAACTGTGGCCCTTTGACACATTCAAACCTGCAATTGAACCTACTCTCAGAGATCACCTTTCAGCCACACAACAGTCCTCTCAAGTGAATAGTAACACCCAGGAGAAGCATGGTTCTTAGAACCATCAACCATACAAGATCAAAAGGAAAACATTTGATCACAAATGAAGTTCAGAATGCCAGAAGGGGCAGAGAAGATGGGTACATGGAAATGGGGAACGCAGGAAGGAAGTGAAAAGAATGCTGTTACGCTGAGGGGATTGCAACGAATGTCACAAAACAAACTGAAACCGTTGAATAGGAAACTTATTTGCTTTATAAACTTTCACCCAAACTACAATCAAAAGTTAAAAGCAAAAACAAGAACACAACCCCAAACAAACAAACTGGGTACACCTGACTTCCTCTAGGAGACAGAAGAATTTCGATGACCAAAAAACAAAGCAAAACAAAAACAAACTAAACCCACTGCAGAGGATTCGATTCAACTCATACGTACCCTATAGGACAATGTAGAAATGCCCCAGAGGATTTCCAAAGCTATAAATCTTTATGGAAGCAAACTGCCACATTTTTCTCCCATAAAGTGGCTGGTGGGTTGGAACTGCTGGTCTTTTGATTATAAGCCAAATGCCTTAATCACACAGTACAACCAGGGATCCCAAACCCAATGACACTGAGTTGACACCCTATTGGTCAGAGTAACGTTGTTCCACTGGCTTTCCAACACTAAAACCTCTACCGAAGCACACAGCCGTATTTTAAACTTTTAGTTATAAACTGGTTTAACATGTTTAGTTATCAGTGGAGTGTTTTAACCACTGCCCTACCATAATGCTTTCTTGTAGGGGTTGTGCCATGGAGTCAGTTCTGATTCATGGGGTTGCTGAGGCTGTTAAGTCTTTACAGGAGAAAAAAGCCTTATATTCTCCCACGGAACAGCTGGTAGTTTTGAACTGATCTTGAGGTTAGCAGCCCGACTCATAACCACCACACTACTAGAGTTCCTTAACCCTGCCCTGCCTCCCCCAACTTAGCTTCTGATAAAGTTATCAGAAGTGAGTTTTTCTAGGTGGCTTTAATGATGCTGTTGTTAGCTGCTGTTGAATTGTACCCTGGCTCATGGAAACTCCATGTGTGTGTGTGTGTCAAAGCAGAACTATGCTCCATAGGCTTTTGCATGGCTGAGTTTTCACTAATAGATCACTAGGTCATTCTACCTATTCCAGAAGCTCCACTAAAACCTATTCAGCATCATAGCAACAAGTTAGTTTCCACGGTGGCTGAGCATGCTGTTCATTGGCTCAGAATGGAACCTGGGTCCTAAATTCTACCAATGAACCATCAGTGTCCCCCAACGCTTTAAAGTTGTTACATTGTTAAGTGCTGTTGAGTTGGTTCTGACTCACAGCAACCCTGTGTAGGGTTTCCAAGCAGCAGCTGTTGAGTTTGAATCTCTGACCTTGTTGTTAAAGTCGACGTTGTGGTCCAGTGCCTTATCCCTCAGTGTCATACCAGGACTCTATGGAAGGCTCTAAGAAAAGATGCTTCCTTATCAAGCAAGTTTGTTCTTTAGACTTCCAGAGCCAACGGTCCACAAGTCTCCTGTATAAAGTGTATACTTTCTGCATCAATGGTAACGTCCCTGTAGAGCTTTTGTCACCCGAGTTTGTGGTCCCCTGATACTACAGGAACTCTGACATTTCATCATAGTATAGATATATCCCTTTGTTTGACCTTTGGTGATGCCAAATTTCCCAGGCAAGCTTTGACTCTCTACTTGTGGAGTGGGCAGGAAACCTTACCAGTCCATAACTCCTTGGCTAGTGTGCACACTCTTTGGTTTCTCCAAAAAGGAATGTACCCGAATCTACACTCAGTGTAAGGAGCTCTGGTAGCATACAAGTCGGGTGCTAATCTCATGGTCAGCAGTTCGAAACTACTTGCAGTTCTGCAGGAGAAAGATGAGGCTTTCTTCTCCCGCAAAGATTTACAGCCTAGAAAACCCTGTAACAGGGTCGCTATGAGGTTGGAACCGACTCCTCGGCACATCACCACCACTACTACCACCATACTCAAGGGATTCTTGATGCTACATAACTATTCAGGTAGGGTTATCCCAGGCCTATGAAAGCACCGGATGTTGGGCATGGAGCTCTGCCCAGAGAAAGCCACAGCCTATGGAAAATGAATCTATGTAGATGGACTTCAGTTTGCCTATGTGAGGCCCGTTTCAGTTCCCTTTTCTGAGGAAACTTTCAGATAGATACAATTCACAAAATTCACCGGAGAGGATAGGAGTTTGACCGAGCCTTGAAACTGGCATAGCTTCACTGAGCACAGGTCACTAAAGTTGACTTCAGAGAGTGAAAATGCCTCCAACTTTCCTCTCATCCCCTAAATCTTTCTTGGCCTATAAGGCGGTTACCCGGAAAGCAGGTGGCTGACGTTAGGTAGATTCCTGGTATGGCGCTGTTGGATCAGCACTGGATTGTGAACCACAAGGTTGGCAGTTCAAACCCACCAGTAGCTCCTCGGAAACCCTATGTTGTTGTTGTTAAGTGCCGTCGAGTCGTTTCCGACCCATAGCGACCCTGTACAGGGTTTCCGAGGGTGTAAATCCTTACGGGAGTAGAAAGCCTCATCTTTCTCCCGCGGAGCGGCTGGTAGTTTCGAACCGCTGACCTTAAGGTTCGCAGCCCGATTCGTAACCACTACGCTACCAGAGCTCCTATACAGACTGGCTATAAGTAGGAACTGACTTAATCGCACTTAACAACAACGTTAGGTAGTTTGTAATATATTCGTGCTGCTCAGTTAAAAGGGTGTGGGGACTGTCCCATTTCACTCCCCTAGAGGCTTTAAGGCCTGGGGTTTTGTGACGGAGACCTGGGTAATTAGAACTAGCCTACGAAGGGTGTCAGGCCGCGCCGAGGTGGGCGGCCCGGCGGGACCAGGGCGGAGCGGGCGCCGCTGCGCTGACAGCCGCGGCAGAAAGGGGGCGGCCTCGCCCATTTCCTCCGCTCGGCTCGCCAGGGTCGGAGGAATTCACATCCGCGAGCTGGTGTCGGCCACTGCGGCTCCCGGTCCGTGTCGGGCTGTGGCGAGGCGGCTCCGGCAAGCCTGCGGCGGCCGCGACCCCTCCAGCGCTCCGGAGCCCACGGCACGGTTCGCGTTTCGGCTGCAGCTCTCGCATTCCTGCCCGCATGGACGCGGCGCTGAAGCGGAGTCGCTCCGAGGAACCAGCCGAGTTCCCGCCGCCGGCCGGGGACGCAGAGGAGGAGGACGTGGAAGGGATGGAGCAGGGACTGGAAGAGGAAGAGGAGGTGGACCCTCGGATCCAGGTAGGGCGCGAGAGAAGAACCCTGGTCCGTGTTTCGCAAAGGCCCCCGCGAAGGTCGGCGTCTACACCTAATCCCGTTCCGCAGCCTCAGGGGTTGGCGGCCACGTAGGTCCGTCCAGGTCGTGACCAGAGGGTCTGAAAAACCAGTTTCACAGTCTTCCAGTGCGGGAGGACCGCAGTGCTTTTTGGATGCGGCCTGACTATATTGCTGGGCCCCCGGCGAGATTTGGGGTTCGCAACAGCGTAACAGAGGCTCGGGCGGATGCATAACAAAGGGAAAAAGGGGGCGGGGGCGCCATACTCATTTCGGGGTACGCTCGGAAAGGCTGGCTGCGACGAGACCATTGCACAGCTTCCGGGCTCTGGAAGGTGGGGTTGCCGGGCCCGCATGGGAGCTGGCCACCGGATACCTTGGGCGACCCGTGAACCTGACCGGGTGGGCGTTGCCTCCCCTGCAGCGTGGACTGGCACAGGTGGCCTGGGGCTGAAGCCCCCACCTGACCGAGGTGCCCAGCCTGAGCCACCTTCGTCTTTCTTTGATTCATTGTCAGCAAACTTATGGGTTTATTGTGTCCCCTGATTCAAACCTCCTTTTGTCTTGAAATGGGTTAAACCCCTGCTTTTCCTTATTGTGGGGTCTGGTGTGAACTGAAATCGGGGACAACTGATGAGCACAGCTGACGCGTGGACGCGTCGAGGGGATTGGCCTGGTCTTCTCTGCCTCCATTTCCTAGAGGGATGATTAAAAAACAATTTTCAAGCCGAGATCAATGTATGACAGCTTAACCTCTTCACCCCCTAAGCAAAACCACAGCAAATCTCATTCCCGAGATCCGTTTTTCTATCCTTTCCATAAATCTTTTTTTTTTTTTTTTTTAATATATTGCTTTTAAGCATGCTCTGCAATCTCTGGGGCCCTAATTGGTTTTTCTGTGCACAGATCAATTAAAACCTCATTTAACTCAGTGGTTGGGGTTTAAATGAATTGTTTTGGCAGATTAGCAAGATAAAGATCAGGTGGGAAATCTTTGCATTAGGAATGATTCTATTAATTAAAACCATTTGGGTTAAGTCATATGTTCTTGCTAGAGAATTCTGTCAGTAAGATCCTTTGTTTGCAGAGTTAAGATGAGTTAACTTCAAACTGGGTACTTTTTACACATGTTGGTTATAAATGTTTAAAACATTGGCATTAAAGCTAGAAAGAAAAAAACTAGATAGGTTGAATAATGGGCAATTTAAAAAAACCAAATATTTTCATTTCTATATAGAAAAACAATCACTGATGAGTTAATGACAGAAGTTTATCCTTGATTTAAACCATTTTCACTAGGTTTATACTTTTGGCAGAGGCAGATTTATTTTTTCTGCAAAGTTTTCTACAGCAGAAGTTATGGTTTTAATTGAGTAGCTAAACCCTTTCTAATATAGGTGGGTTTGGCTGGATGCACATACTTGTAATAAACAGTTGAGCTTATAAAAAAAAAAAGACAAATAATTCTTAGGTCTGCAAGGCATTTTTTAGGAGACAGAAGTCAAGATAAAGACTTCAGAAATACTGCCATTCATTTACATCTCCAGCTGAAGCTCATCTGTTTTGAAAATTAGAACCAACTTTTCTCTCTGTCTTCAAATTGGGTTAGGGTAGTCCCTTGTTTAGGTTATGTGCTGATTTATGTTGGAAACAAAGACTAAATCCCTCAAATTTTTTTTCTCTTTTTTTGTCACTAGGGAGAACTGGAGAAGCTAAATCAGTCCACGGATGATATCAACAGACGGGAGACTGAACTTGAGGTATGGAAAACTGGATCCCTCCTCTAAAAGCGATGGTCGTCACACTAACCCCTGGCCGTTTGCTTTTGTTTTAAGAGTTGAAGGGTTATTGCTGAAAGCTCATCTTTGGGAGTTGTTGAGCAACAGCCCGGTATCTGACAAGAAAAATACACTACTGAGCCCCATCTGTGGGCCCAAGGCATGTGGATTCAATTTCACATGTTGTTTTTCATTATGGAAGCTCCATGGGGTCAAACTAAGAGCTGTGTGGTGCTTAAGACCCAATTTTAATGTGGCTGTGGAAAAGCTGAAAGGTCTGAGGGGAAAGTTAGCTGACCTCTTAGTAATGAATGAGCTTACAAAATCTCTTAAATATTTTAGGGTGGTTCCTTCTATTTGTACTTGGAACTGTTTGGTGTTTCCTCAAATTTATCCTTTAAAAAAAAAAAAAATTTTTTTTTTCTTGTCCTAGTAACTCCTTCTCTCTTTCCTTCTACTTTCCAACACATTTTTTAAATTGTTCATTTGCATGTAGAACATAATTATTCTAATGGTTAAAAAAAAAAGTTGTTTGGACTGGAAGGACCTTCTTGCTGGGAAAAATCTTGGGAGGTGAGCTTGATTTGAATTTCATGAGCATTTTCCAACCTGAGTGTAAATAGATTAGCTTTCTTCACTGCTCCCAATTAGTCCTCACCCCTATTTAGTAGTTGTTTGTTTTACCATCCCTCAGCAAATTTGAAACCTGTGAGAGCTAGACCTTGACCGGAATGTCTTGTTTTACTGAGTCTTGAACATTTTCTGCCTTTGACGGGGTGCGATCCTGCTACTTATATAGACTTTTTTTGTTTTTTTGGTAGACTTTTGCGTTTTCCTTCTCTGACAGGCTTCCACCTTGCCCACGCACAGGTGTTGGCAGGTTTTAGTATATACCTGAAAGCCGGTAAATACACCTGAAAGCCGGTAAATGACTTACACAGGGTTGTAGGAATGCAGGGGATTATTGTGAAGACCTGTTTATATAGCTGGGGAAATGGCAAGAAAGGTCAACAAGAAGGGATGATAACATAACCAGACCCTGTAAGTACCAAATTTGGATGAAACCAGGACTGCAAAGGCTTTCCATGAAACTGGCTGCCTTTCCCCAAAATGAAGCGAAATCTTCGTGCTTGTTTACATTTTTTACCACTCTCAATGAATTCAGTCTCTGTGATTGTTGGTTAACTGAAACTTCTCTGAAGTTCAGATTTCTAATATGTTAAATAAACAACAAAAACACCCCATGCCATTTCTATAGAGCTTCAGTGTACAAAGTGATTTGGCAAGATTGATTTCATTTCATCCTGTTCCAACAGTCTTGAGCTGGCTGTCTAATATGGTAGCCACTTTCTACATCTTTTAACCTATAATTGAAAGATTAACATTCAGGTCCTCAGTCACAAAGACCACATTACAGGAACTCAGTAGTCATTGTATTGGACAGAGTAGGGAATACTTCTTACATTATAGAAAAATGATGCTAACTTGGTCAAGTGGGGAAGACAGAGCCTACCTCTTTTCCCAGGGAGGCTCCGTGACTCACAGTTTAATAAGGGGCAGAGTTGCTACACCTATCCTAAACCCATGCATTTTCCAGCTATCCTTTAGCTTTTATATCCTACCGTCCCAAATAAATAGGAGAAAACCAAAACGCAAATCCATTGCTGTCAAGCCAATTGTGATTTATGGCAGCCCCATGTATGTCAGAGTAAGACTGTGCTCCATAAGGTTTTCAATAGCTGGTTTTTCCAGAATCAGCTCCCTAGATTTTTCTTCTAAGGCCTCTGTAGGTAGACTTGAACTTCCAGCCATTTGGTTAGTAGCCAGGCATGTAGCCGTTTGTGCCTCCCAGGAACTCTCCTCTAATGAATAGACAAGTTGGGACTCTTTGTTTTTTGTCTTTGCAAAGGATGGATTTATTTATTCAGCAAATATTTGTATGACTGCTCTGTGCTGAGCACTGTTCTGGGTAATAAATAAGGCAGCCTTCATTCTGAGGGTACAGTTGGTTCATCACATACATTCTTTTTAGCTCTGATTTCCGAATCTTGTTCCTAAATTCACTTAAATATTTGTTTGTCACAGGAAGCCAGCTGGGCAGGTGTTTCCTGCCGTGCTCGGAAGAGTATTTGGCAGCAGTATGTGAGGCAAGGAGGTGAGGGCTGGGCTGGGTTGCTGGCTGGTTTTTCATAGTGTTGTTATAACCAAGACTGATGGAACACAGCACTGCTCAATAGAAATTAAAAACTCCTTCTCATCCACATTAAAAAGTAAAAAGAAACCAGTGAAATTAAGTTTGATACATCTTACTTGGCCCAGGATATCTAAGATAGTATAATTTTAACAAGGAAGCAGTATAAAAATTTGCTCAGGAGATCTTTTTAGTTTTTGTTTCATGGTACTAAGTCTCCAAAATCTCATGTGTATTTTATACTTTGGGCACAGCTCAGTTTGGACTGCCACATTTCAAGGGCTTAAAAGCCACATGAGGCAGGTGGCAACACAGGTCTCTGGACACCTGTCACACCTCCCTGTCCAGATCCTGGAGGAGAAGATGGGGTGTGTGGTGTGTGTGTGTGTGTGTGTGTGTGTCTGCCTGCCTGTCTGCCTGTGTCTGTTGGGGGACTCTGTTCTTTCAGTCAAGCACTGGCATCACCTTTGTGCCAGGTACTCTGTTGGTCCTTGGGGATACATGGGGGAACAAGACAAGCAAAGGTCTTGCCTTCAAGGAGTTTATGTTTTAGTGGGTGTTTCAGCTACCTGATGCTGTAACACAAACATTATAAGTGGCTGACTTTAAAAAGCAGACATTTGTTTGTTTCCTGGTTCAGGAGTTTTAGAAGTCCAAATTCAGGCCATGGCTGTAGAGCAGGGGTGGGGAATGTCCGGCTGGCAAAATACTTTAATCTGGCTCTGCCAAGACAACTGCAGTTCCAGCCATTACATTTGTTGTTGTTAGTTCTGTTGAGTTGGTTCTGACTCACAGAGACCCTGTAAAGGGTGAATTAATGAAAGGTTGGACCAAATATAGCAGGCTAATTTTAAGTTGATAATTTTGTATGACCCGTCTATGATGATATAAATTTTGACAAAAAATGTTCCCCACCCCTGCTCTAGGAATAGGTTCTTCCTTGTTTACTTCAACTGTTCGTAGCTGCCATCAATCCTTATCATTCCTGTGTTTGTAGATACATCTGTCTCTATCCAAGGTCTTTCTCTTCTCCCTGTGTGTGTCTGTCTCCCCATTGTTGTTGTTAGGGGCTGCCAAGTTGATTCCTACTCGTAGTAACCCCATGTGACAGGGTAAGTTTTGCCTCATAGGGTGTGCTAGGCTTTAACCTTTATGGGAGAAGATCACCAAGTCTTTTCTCCTGAGGAGCTGTTGGGTGAGTATGAACTGCCAACCTTTTGGTTACCTGGGTGGGGATCTTGCTGTCCATGAATTCCTTCTTCTTTGCTTTTTGATTATGATCTGGAATGTTCAGCATTCTCTCCTGACTTTGTCCTATTCTGATTAAGCTGAATAGGTGACCAGGTTTATGTCAACTCTGATAGTGTAGTGGTTACGAATCAGGCTGCTAATCTTAAGGTTCAAAACTACCAGCTGTTCTTTGGGAGAAAGATGAGGCTTTCTGCTCCTGTAAAGATTTACAGCCTCGGAAACCCTGTGCAGGGTCTCTTTGAGTCGGCACTGACTCCACAGTACTTAACAACAACAATCCAGTCCCAGAACATGGTGGTGTCGTTTGGGCAGCCACAGGCCAGGAATTCTCTTCTCCCACCCTGGTGCTTGTTTCAGCTGTATAAAGCTGAGAGGACCAAAAGGCTCGGGATGCCAGGCATCGGCTATGACATTTGTTGGATAGCTACATCTTCCTGCATCCTCATCTCTGCATCTAGCCTTGTTTGCACAGTGCATTGGCCCCTTTGCTCCTGATTGATATGGAAGAGAGCCAGCCTTTTCAAGCTTTTCAAGGGAAGAATAACCTTTTAACCAGAGGGCCCTTGCGTGTAAGCTTGATGTTTTAAATTAAGAAAAGAAATGTTATTTTCCTAGAGAGACATTGATTAATGTGGTGCCTTAGGATAAACATTAGTGTGGCACCATAGGATCAACACTGGACTGCTAACTACAAAGTTGGCAGGTGAAAACCACCTGCTCGTTGGAAACCCCATACTAGGTCACTACGAGTGGGAACCAACTCCATGACACATAACAACAACAACAATTATTAATTCACTAAGTGTTTATTGAATACTTCCTGTGTGCCAAGGACAGATTTAGGTGGTGAGGATAGAGCATTGAACAGAATGGACATAAATTCCTGCTCTCCTGAGGCTTGTTTGTCATGAAGGAGGAAATGTCGTGAACTAGGTAAATGAATAAAGCACACTGAGGGAGAGAAAGGATTACAGATACTTCGGGTGGGGGGTATCTTTAAGTTTTTGTTAAGAGTGATGGAAAAGTTGGGGAATACTTAATGGTGATGGCTGAATGACATCTGAACTATACATGTGATGATTGTAGAAATGGAAAATGTTTTGTTACCTGTATATTTACCACAATTAAAATCTTAAAAATGAGGGAAAAAATATGTTGTAAGGTGTATCATATCTGTGAAGGAGATAAACAAAGCAGGAAGGGTCTAAACCCCCAAATGGACTGCCATCTGGAGGGTTTCCAAGGCTGCAAATCTTTGTGGAAGCTGACTGCCATACATTTTTGAACTGCTGACCTGTGGGTTAACAGCCAGATGTTTAACCCAGTGTGCCACCAAGACTCCTTAGGAAGGGTCTGTTGTTGTTATGTGCCGTGGAGTCCGTTCCGACTCATAGCGACCCTGCACAGGGTTTCCGAGGCTGTTAATCTTTACGGGAGCAGAACGCCTCATCTTTCTCCCGCGGAACCGCTGGTAGTTTCGAACTGCTGACCTTATGGTTCGCAGCCTGATTCGTAACCACTACGCTACCAGAGCTCCTTG